AACACTTGCACGCCTCCCCTGCCCCAATACAACTGCAGTTGCTGCAGCGACCGCAGTATGAAACAGCTTTGTACAATAGTAGCGGTTTCTCACTAATCATCAAAAATGGTTACACCATCTAAAGTGTTCTACAGACAGTACAAAATTAACTAAAAACAGCGGGTTTGAATCCTATTGAAAGCTTCGGAATGTTTTCGAATTTTTCGAATGGCGGCTGGTTGAAAATGACGACTTTATGCTGGAAGTCCTTACCGTAAATTGCAGTATGAAGAGAGATAAATGACTTGTTTTGTGCTGTAAATCTAAGGTGAAACAAGCCTTTTTATAAGCTACCTGAAGACCCGCGGAAGCTTTTTTGACAAGCAAAAACCAGCGATGAAACTTCTGATACTTTTTGGACACCCTTTGAATACAACTATGCAAATTTTAGAACTTTGAGTGACAGCAAGTGAATTGGATGTTTTTCTATGGTTCTGCAGTTTTGGCCATCACTTCATGGCAGCAAAGAGCGGGTGCCGTAGACGAAATATTTGAGATAGCTATCACATTCAAACGGACCAATGGCTTTCGATCATTATTTTATGCTTTTCAAATTTCGCTAACCCGGATTCTCAGTCACGGTCCGGTCACTGTACTGCACCCTGAGATTGCGTAGTTGTCCGTTTTCGCGAAATTCAAATCTCGCCTCACGCAGCACCATTTTTCTGCAGCAACGATTAGTACGTAGAAGGTATCATCGGTTCGTTGACCACAAGGACTGGACATTACTGCGGAGCACGCGCCGCGAATAAAACGCTTGTTCCTTACGATTTCGCCATAGTACAAGTCGTGCTCTCGCAACATTTCAGTTTCGCCGCGCGTGGTGCGCGACGTTTGAGCAATCTGTGCGATCAACGAATCCTTGTTGCGTGCCTCTGCACCTTTTGAGCTGCCTTTGCGCGTGGTTTTAAAGGCAGCGTCCAGGCAAATTTGGACATATGGGGATCTCACGTGGATAGTAGTTTTGGGGCCCTAACTAAGCCACTGCTCAAGCGGCAACTCAGGTAGTGCTCTAGCGGCTGAGATATTGCCCTCGAAACTGGACCCCAGGATCGTACTTAGCATGGATTCATGGCGCAACCCATCAGTTTCGGGTGGGTCTTCGCGCGAAGCAGATGGGTTGCGCCATGAATCCATGCGAATACGATCGCGGAGTCCAGTTTCGAGGGGAATTTCTCAGCCGTTAGAGCACTACCTGCGCTGCCGCTTGGGCACTGCCTTAGTTAGGGCTCCAAAAGTACTTTCCACGAAAAATCCGCATAGGTCCAGATCTGCCTGGACGCTGTCTATAAAGCATTTACGCCAACGTGGTGTGTGCCAGTGCGACAAGGACTTTGAAGCTCATTGCGTTGGTATCTAGGGAAAAGCCTCAAGGCACCTACTCTTTTCTGGTCTTCGTCATTCATGGAATTGATGAGAAACAACGTTGAGGTATGTTGTAGGATGCAGGTTATTTTGGGAAAATGCAGGAAATTGTGTCATACATGGTGCTTGCTGCTGTGGGCATTTGAATTTTGTTTACAAGGGCTCTGCGTGGTCGCGAAGGTCGATGAATTTGCGCCCAATGCTCATCCTTCAAAATTTTCCAGTTTTCTTCCTCCTATTGAACGCTTTTGTTCTATCAGATGTTAGCTTTCAATCGCCTGAATATATTCTGAGAAGATCGGGGTTGTTTAACTGGTTTGAGGCCTTGCATTTGCAACATATCCTGCGCATGCAAGTCGCAAATTCACCTACCTTCGCGATCACGGAGAGTCCTGTATTGTGAGGGCACGCGGGCAACTATATAAGCCCGAAAATGGCGAATCATACTGGTTTTAGGTGAAATTTCGACCGATGACGGGTTACAACAAATTTGAAGTCAAGGATTTGACTCCTGCAGAGATAAAGTCAGCTGGATTGCTCGACAAAAAGGTAGGAAGAAAATGCTTGTTTTGAACATCAAAGTTAGTATTCGTATTCAGACCGCAGGTGAATCGGGTCAGAAGGTGACAGTTGGGATCGCAAAGCCAGGGGTTGCCTACGTCCCTCCCCATCTTCGAAAAAGTAAGACAGTGCTTATTGATGTCCTGATATGCGTTTTAGTCCCTAACAAGAGAAGTTTAAACTTAGGTTAGCGTTTTGAGATGGGACCCATATATTTGATCAGCATCGAACGCTGATTTCAAATATGCTGTCCTTAGCTGTGGCACATTACTCTGAAGGGAGTTATGAGCTTTTTTGCGAAATTGGCTTACTATCCAACATGGGAAGGCTGGTAGATGGAAATCAGCGTAAAACCGTACTGGGATACTAAAATAATTTCACATTGAGTCCTTTGTCAGGCAAGAGACTTACGCAGTAAATTAACATCTAGATGATGATACCGTAATGGTAATAGGTCAAAGAGCATACTAATTTTGCACAGAATCAATAACTCGCTTTGAAATGCCGCAGCTAGGAACAACATATTTGGAGTCAGCGTCTGAAGCTGATTCCAACTTCAACTTTCTGCTCTGTAGAGAGTATCTTGGCAATTTTCTGTTTGCGGAGATTTTCAGCGAGCTAGACCATTCTGATCCACTCAATTCCGATATGGTACGGATTTCAAAAATAAAGTAGCGATTTCTGGCTCAAGAAGGGTCCACGCCTTGGGCACCCACTCACGATTGCAGTCGCCACTTAGGGAGTGCAGCAGTCGAAGTGGCCAACCGTAACAAGCTCATATTATTGGATGCAGCATACATGGATGACTCTAAACCTGTCTTCCTTATCTGCTGGATGCTTTGAGGACGAAGCTGCATGCCATTCACAGGGTGTCTCAAAAGTGAGCACACAGTATTCAATCGTCAGTGGCTCTCTCCTCATTAGGTCTTTTGCTTAGCTTTGCATGCCGTTCGATAGAGCTGACTCTTTATTAGCTTTGCAGTATGGAGCAAATCACTTATTTGTCTTCATTGTAGGATTATAGGAACTTTGAAGAAGAGTTTGGGGGAACGGTCAGGAGTCACGGTCGGCGCAAATTTTTCGCGAAGCGATGCCGCAAGCGATGTCAGCAAAACAGAAGCCTGCACTCCTGGCACAGTCTTACTTATGGCACGAGCCATGTATCTGCCCCCACCTCCCACCCCCCTAGACTGGCGCCGTGCCACTTTAACACCGGGCAGTTTTATGGGGTACAAAATTTAGACGCGACGTGTGCGGAGAAGCGGCGCGGCGCGCGGCGTGACTCCTGACATGGAGCCGAGCTGACTCTTTATTAGCTTTGCAGTATGGAGCAAATCACTTATTTGTCTTCATTGTAGGATTATAGGAACTTTGAAGAAGAGTTTGAGCCACCAATGGCTACGTATAGCACCAGAGTTGATACTTGAAGGCAGACGTCCAGTTTCAAAACCGAAACTTCTGGAATAGCTGCTCGTTTTCGAGATTTTTCGTGTTCTCCAAGTTGCATTTTCGGATTAGCGGGAAGGATAATCCAAGGAAGCAAAAAATTACATCCGAAACTTTGCCTCTAGCGTCGAAAACCCTCCAAGCTAAAATGAGCTACTGGTTATGACTATGATACTGGCAGTTTAACATGGAGCTTTTTTTGTTATTCCAGGGAACCAAACTTTTCAGTGTTTTTCCAAATATGATTGAACGATTCGAAACGCTCAAAGACTTGTAAGAAGTTTGTCTAATGAAATTAGCATGTTCACAAACACTGCTATACAACTTCCAAATTTTCTTTTTTCAAACGGCTTTTTTCACAGTGGTGTTGTATGCTGGAGGTTCTTACACTATTCCTGCAGTATTGAAGACGAATGAGTAATTCGCTTCAACTGCAAATCTAAGTTGAAGCCTTTGCTACTGAATGGTACTCGAAGGTAAGCAAAAGACTTTATGCGAGGAGAGTTATCAACGATCAATACATTGACGACTATGGCCTTTCACGGACCGGTCAACCTTTTTAGATAATCACGCATGTTTTTATCTACAATATACCTCTGTAGCGCTAGGGGCTGACAAAAACAGTGCAGGTTATATCTACATCCAGCACAAAATGAACTTCAAGTGGGTTTGACCGAAGATAGTAGCCATTCAAAGAAAATGAAGCCTTGACAACCATGAGGGTCAAGCCGTCGTCAATGTGTCCAAAAGTGTGTGCTTAGTGTGTACTTATGTTGAGACGCCCTGTATTGCAATAAAGAGTATGCAAAGTGCCATTGGGATACAGAGCCATGTTTAGATTAACCATACCCAAAGTTGCGCTAAAATGGCAATAAATGCCTAATTTTGCAACTTGATGTACATTTTTCCTGCATTAAAAGGGGACAACGTAACCAAAGAGAGGGAAAGCGACGAAATTTTTTGCTCGAATGGAGGTGCGGCGTTAGCCACGCACTCCGAGAACTTCTTTTGGACGCTCCCCAGAATTTTTGCGGCCCATAACCCCGAAATTTTAGAGTAAGGGCTGGCTGCAGCCAACCCGTGAAAATTTTTTTTGCAAGGCTAATTTGAATTCTTAAAAAAATTTCCAAAATCATTACGATTATTTATGAGTGTAAACAAGTCACTTGCATCTGACTCATGTAAGTAATTTTCAAGTTTTCGCAACCCATCCTCAGCGGCGGTATTTATCAATCTCCCACACCTGTTCGGGCCATTATTAACGAGTGCCTGGACAGGCGAGAGCACCATCCCATGATCTATGAAAGTGGGGCGCGTAGCCCAAACGAGCAGCAGGGCCTGAGATTGGGCACGATCGGGCACCTGCCGTGCCCGATATGGCCAAACTTGCCAGATCGGACCATATCTTTAAAAGACAGGAGCCCAATCACAATCTTGGCTTCGTATATCGCGGGCGTCAGTGCCTACGCCTATACGGGCTGTGACCTGTACAGGAACCCCTTCCCATATAAGAGATTGAGTGCCTCCCCCCCCCCCCCCCGGTCCATTAATGCGAGGTAGAGAACCGTAAATACCATTCTTTCCAGAAATATCGTTAGTGGTTGTGCTCGTACCTCCATATTTTCTTTTTGGAATACAATTATTTTTCACAGACCTCACTGCAGTTTTGAAGAAAAGCAAACGGAAAAATTCTACTGTGACGATCTATAGTCTATAATAAATGTAAGAATAGTAATGAATATATCAATTATTTGCTGCAACAATTGATTACATATAATTTGCGATATTTGTTTCTACTTTTGGGATCTATCACTTTTATAGCAAACTCTGTTTGCTTTATAGTTCTCAAATTTGCAGTGAGAAAAGACTCTGAAAAAAGAACAAGTTTGCAGGTATTTAGGTATACCACTAATTGTAAGAAATTCGAGAACTCTGAAAGAAGACACCTAAATACCAATTTGCACACCAATCGGACGTATGTTGCTACTGACATTGAGTTCGAAATTACTGAAATTCCGGTTCCATGCGTTCGCGGATGAGGGCATGGCTATTGTTTACACAATCAGCTTCACATATGGCCCTGATCTCAAGTGTTAATTAGCGTTGCCGACTACTCATAACCCATGACCATCTGTCAGGTTGCGCACGTCTTTTGGGTAGGCACATAAACTCCTCATGTTACCGATCAAAAAGAGTTGAAGAGCAAAGTGCAGAATATCTATCGTTTCTTCGAGCTTGACTCTTAGCAATATGAAATACTAGTTGACTTACCCGGCTCCGCCCGGCCCTGTCATTATTATATTCGTAATCAGCATGCTCGATTACCCCCTGTGCCAACTCCCAGCCCCGTAGCTCAAAATTTGCAAAAAATAGATAAAATCGATATCGATCGATGACGAAAAGTAGCCTATGACACCCGCCGGGGCCCGAAGTGTATATGTGCCAAGTTTGGTCCGGATCGGTTCAGAAATGAAATTTTCTATTCGGAACATACGTACAGACAGACAGACAGACATACAGACAGACAAACAGACATTCAGCTTTATATAGAAGGATTGCTCAACAACACCAAAATCTTCAGCTCTAATTAGAACACTGTTAAAACACTAGGGATAGCATGCAAGACGAGAGAAAACGCCGAAGGACCCTCATCCGCGCTTTCCTCGCTTTGTGTCTTGCAAGAACTCTGCTGCTAGGCCTTTTTTCTCTTAAAAACAGCGGGAGGTGTGGGGGCAGATAGACTAGAGGCCTTAAAGGCAGTGGCCCGGGAAAATTGCAGCTGCGCGCTTTCTGTTCCTCCTTGGCCTTCTGGATGCGTTTAGACCAGAGCTGTACATTAAAAGTCGAACAAGTGATTTTTATGGCGTTTTCCGGCCTTGATTGCTGAGGAGGCTGGAGAGGAGATTCCCGCAGCTGAGTCGCGATTGGCTGCCTTGGCCAATCAGCCAATTGCCGCCAAAATGAGTGGTTTTACGTCTCCTGCAGCCAGTCACTGTTTTTGGCGGGGATCTCTCCGCTCCAGCCTCCTCGCAATCTCCAAGGCCGGAAAACGCCGTAAAAAGCACTTTCTTTGATTTTCAAGCACAGCTTTTCAAACGCATTCAAAGGCCAAGGAGGAACGGAAAGCTCGCAGTTGCAACTTTCATGAGCCACTGCCTTTAAGTAACACTAGCTGGCATACCCGGCCCGCCCGGCCCTGTCTCTGCCGATGTCGGCAATTCCTTACAACCGTACCTTTACCCTCACCAAAATATCGCAAAGGTCATGCCATAAGCATAACCTGCTGTGATAACATTAAGTTCTTTGCTCCGCTTGTTATCATAAGCATTCCACAGCACCGACGTGTGTAGGTCGCCTGTTCATAAAGCTTATTAGCGAATGGGTTCTCTATACACAGTCCAGCAGGCAACCTTGAGCTACGAGGCAGGGAGTTGACACAGGGGCGGGGTGGTGGGGGGGGGGGGGAGGGTATGAAGGCATACAGATGTGGGGTTAGGGGCAGGGAAATATGCAAAAAATTGGAAATGGCAATTGCGTAGTGTACAGACAGTATGTCGGTGGTTCTTAGGCTTTAGATAGCCTCAGGCGAAATAGCCTAAGAACCACCGACATGATTAAAACATGAACCGATATGATGATATCTAAAATTTTGGAAAAAAGCTGGGAGCTCGGTA